ACACTGGAATGGGGACGTGGGCACCAGGGATGGAGCAGTGGATGGTGACAGCCATAAAATCACCCCTGGTTCCTGCTCTCATTGGCTTCAATCATGCCGCTGCACCCCGGATTTCGGGAGCGAAGATTCGGATTGGCTGAAGGAGCGATGCCTGGTGTGTGTTCCCAGCCTTCTCCTAAATGTCCCAGCGCTGCTGGAAATGAGACCCAAGAGCTCCTGCCACCTCTGTCCCTGCTGCAGCGAGTGGTCGCTGGTCGGTCCCGCTTGGCCGGGGAGATTGAGACCGAGGAAGAGGAGGGGAAGGAACTGGTGAGCTCCCACCTCCGGGAAAGCTCAGCTCTGGAAAAGCAAGAGCTTCCTTTGAAATATTTCCCCAGGATTAAATGCCTCCCCTCGTTGCAGGGAGCTGCTGGAGCAGCACATGTTCTCACTGCCGGGCTGGGTCCCCTCCTGCGGGGCCTGCAGCCTTTGCCAGCTCCTGGCTGAGTTTGCAGTTGATGAAATGAAAACGATGCCCTTCCTTCCATTAATTCAGATATCTTCTTCCTTCCCCCTCGAGGCACAACAGCAGCTCTAACACATAAATGATTTAGGAGCGGAGCCAGACGAAGACAAAGCTGATGGATGATGATTCTCTGTTTGGGGGGATGCTTTCCTGCTGGAGATTTTTGGAAACAAATATATCTATCCCCATCCAAAACCCAAATGCAACCCCCCTCTCCCCCCCGCCCCCCATCCCGAATGACTCACCCGGTGAGTCAGGGCACAAGGGCAGCGCGGCGGGGAGGGATGGATGCCAGCACGCGCCGCGATGAGCTGGACCAGGCCAAGGAGCTGGGGGACAGAACCCTTTAGGTGGTCCCTGCCTTTAAATGGGTAAAACAATTTTTGCCCATTTCACCTTTAGGATGGAACCTCTCGAGCCTTGAAGCAACGGGTCCCTCTTCGCTGGAAACAGCTCCCGGGAAGCCCAGTTACGGGCACAAACTTGAGTATGAGAAGTTCCACCTAAACGTGAGGAAGAACTTCTTTCCTGTGAGGGTGGCAGAGCCCTGGAACAGGCTGCCCAGGGAGGTGGTGGAGTCTCCTTCTCTGGAGACATTCAAAACCCACCGGGACATGTTCCTGTGCAACCTGCTCTGGGTGGACATGCTTTGATTGGGGGGTTGGAGAAGATGATCTCCAGAGGTCCCTTCCAACCCCATGTGATTCTATGATTCTATGAAGCACATCGTGCCCAGGCTTTGGGCAAAAAACCCCCAAACTGGAGGGAGGGCAGTGCTTTGGGGAGGTCCTGGGGGCAGCGAGGAGGATGGAGACTCCCCTGTGCCCTCGTAGCACCACAGGCATGTTCTGCTGGAGGGTGGCACTGGTCCACATCAAAACCTATGGAAAATGGGTTGGCGTTACAGTTATCAAGTCAAATATATCTAGTGACAGAGCATCACCATCACAAGAGCATGGGCTGATCCTGAAATCGTGACTTTGGCGAGGTTTTTCCCAGACTGGGATATTTTACCAATCTCTGGAAGAATAGAAAAGACCTCATTTAACTAAAGATCACTTCTCTTTCAGAGTCCATCCCATCCCATTAAAGCTTCCCCCTGAAAAACCCACAGCCTCCAGCCCTCATGGGCATCCCGGGGAGCGGCAATCTATTTTAAACCTAAAAGAAGCAATTTCAGGTGAGGCATGAAATGCTGCTGTTGGAAGAGCAGGTGAATAATACCCTTCCCAGCAGAAATGAAGCCTCCCCCCCCCCAGCCCCAGCATCCCTGGAGCACGATCTCCTGCCCATGGCTGGGGCTTTGGCAGCCCCCCCTGGCTGGGTCCTCCATTTAGCGTGTCCCCAAAACAGCTATCGATGGCGATTTGTATTAATCACACAATTGGAAGCCACTCGTGTAAGAGGATTTGCTTTGGGATACGTGTGCGGAAAGATCTGCTTTAAGCACAACTGGAGTGTAATTGCAGGAGCAAATCCTGCCCAAATTGCTGCCGGAGCAGGTTCCAGATGTCAGAGGGACCCCATAAGGGACAAGGGATCAGGATGCAGCCCTGGTCACCATCCTGCCCAGCGTTCGAGGGCTGCATTTTCCCTCTGGCTGCTGAGCAGGGAAATAATGATTTTTCTGAGCCGTCCCAGCAGCCAGCGCCGTGCAGAGGCTGCAGCCTTGACCTCAGTGCAGGTCACCCACCTCCTCCCGCTCCCTGTCCTCTCCTCCAAGCCCCTGTGGTGGTGTCCCCATCAGCCCCAGCTCCAGGGCTGCAAACCAGTCACTGAGAGTCACTCAGGACAGACTTGTCCCAGAGAACAGTGGAGAAGGATGGAGGGAGCATGAGGATATAGGGAGGATCAGGAAGAAGGATGGAGGGAGCACAGGGAAGACAAGGAAGAAGGATGGAGGGAGCATGAAGACACGGTGGAGGATCAGGGAGAAGGATGGAGGGAAGCATTGGGAAGGAAGAAGGATGGAGGGAGCATGAGGACACAGGGGAGGATCAGGGAGAAGGATGGAGGGAGTACGAGGAAGACAAGGAAGAAGGACGGGGGGAGTATGGTGACACAGAGGATCAGGGAGAAGGATGGGGGGAGTGTGGGAATAGGACGAAGAAGGATGGAGGGGACATGAGGACATGGGGTGGATCAGGGAGATCTTACAGCGCCAGCAAGTTATTTCAACTGAGCCAAATGGCCCGTGGAGAAGCGCCGTGTGACGGGGACAGCAGCAATTTGTGTGTCCTGAGGGGGGCTGGGAGCAGAAATAATGCTAACGCCGCGGCAGAGAGAGCACGGAGCCTTCTCTGGGGCTCCCCCAGGGCTTCCAGGGGAAGGTGCTGTCGGGGTTTTACGGAGCGTTTCACATGAAGTGCCAACCACGGCAGGGGATGAGGGCACCAGCCCCAGGGCCCCTCCGGCGCGGGGGGCACCTCTCCCGGGGCAGCACTGGCTGCTACCAGGGCTCACCACAGAGGAGCAACGGATTGGGGTGAACACGGGTGGTTTATGGCTGATTCCTCCATCAGGGAGGTGGGGGCAGGAGGGAGGTGTCTGGCCCAGGATGCAGGAGTAGGTGCAGGAGATGGTGCAGGAGATGGTGCACACAAAACACGCCATACCAAAACTCCGGCTGCCCTCACACAAACTGACGCTCCAAGGAAGTGCTGAGGACCAGGCTGGATGGGGCTTTGAGCAACCTGGTCTAGTGGGAGGTGTCCCTGCTCACAGGGCGGTGGAACTGGATGATCTTTAAGGTCCCTTTAACCCAAACCATTCTATGGTTAGCAAGAATCCCACAAACCACTCATGCCTTGCCTAGGCTGCCACTGACCTCAGTTAACCCGACCCACAGGAGGTTGGTGACAAAGAGACAGTGAAACACTTGTGGACCCTTATTTCTTATGGCATGAAGAACTTCCTTCCCCTGGGCTTGGCTGTGGGAAGGTCCCCTGTGCTCTACCTTTACAACAGGTCACACAGAGGAACGAGGATGACTGTAACCCCACAGCTGATGAGAAAACAGAGAAGACCACTAGCTAAACACCCATCAGGTGACCTAGGAGATGCCCTGGGACAACTACCTGGGCTGGTAGATGTGACCCAGGTCTTGCGAGTCTTGGTGTCTGGAGAGGTCTCTACTAAACGTCTATGCTCAGGTAAATGCATCTCATCTCTGATAGTTTTATTCAAACTGCATTCGTTCTGAAGAATAAGCCCAGAACAAAACAGTTTTTAACTTAAACATGGTCCAACACATGGAATTTCTGAGAAGTCACCTTCTCCACAGCATCCCTCCCATGGGAAGCTGGAGTCAGAGAACAGGTCTCACTAATAAATGTATTTTTTCCCTGTTAACAGCTTCAAATATTTCAGCACGGAGCATCTGGGCTTTCCAGTGCCACTAACCCTCACCCCAAAGCCCAGATGGGAGTTAAATGGTGTCAGATGTGACCAAGAGAAAGGAGCAGTGACTGAGTAGAGGATGGGGTTGCCCCTGGTGAGACTGTGGTGGGAACAGGACAAACCCCTCTCCCCAAATGGAAAGGAGAGCATCCCTTCTCTAGCCTATTTCTTAAGGAAATCAAATCCCTAAGATGAACCTCCCATGAGAATTTAGGATGTATTTTTTGAAAATATGGTCAGGAAAGGAAGAAAAAGTCATTTTGGAGACCTTGCTTGAAGACAGGTGCCCACCACTGACCCCAGTACACAAAGAACCTCACCCAGAGCTCTTAATGCCCCAATGAATTCATGTCTTTCCTCCAACATTCACAGCAAAGGGCATTACCAAGAACATAGAAAGTTTTCTTGTGGAAGATGGCAACAAGCAAGTGCCCTCCCAGCTCAGGCTGCTCACTGCCAGCTCCCAAAAAGGGGCTGTAAAGGATGAAACAGGTGGACATGCCTTAGCCAGGAAGCAGCACCAGCAGCCCAGAAGATCAGATCTCACCATGACCATGGCCTGGCTTGCCCCAATGGCACCTTTCATGACAGGCCATGACAGACGTCATGTCACCAGCCTGGGTAGGACACCAGGGCTCAGCCTCTGGCCAGATGCCGTGTGACAGCATGGACACCTTGGGTTGAGAGTCCCACAGCTGGACTTCGGTGACACAATGGACACACAGCGGAACATTATCGTGTCAGGTTTCTATGGCAGGAAGATGGACAGATGGCTTGAAAATATCCCGTCCCTCCCCAGGGCTGTCCCTCCCCCTGTGCCGTACTTGGCATTGCCCAAGGAAGCACAGTGATTTCTGCTCCCCACCTCCAACCTCCACTCAGAACTTTGGGGAGAGGAGCCAGGTGACTGACCTGTTGGAGCAGCTCCCATCAGCCAAGCCCTCTCCATCGTCCATGGACACACGGGTGCTCTCCCTTCCACGCCATGTGCTATCAACAAAAAGGAAGATAATTCTGCTTTGTTTGTGCTTTTGGTCTCCTTAAAATCCCTTTAGCATCTCCTTTTGCAATGTCTCATACAGCAATGACAACAAAGGCGCTCTAAGGAATTACTTTATTGTCTTTCTTCTTTAGAAACACTTTTTACACTTTAAGAAATGAGGTTCGTTTTTAAAAAATAATCACAATCTCAGGAACAGTCCTATCCACAGTGCTGCCATGGGGCATCACAGGCCTCTGGACCTCACCATTAAGGTGGGAGGGTCATGAAGGTCTCTGATCTATGCTCCTGGAGTTCAGCAGTAGAACAAAAATACTCGGGGATGACTCTGTTTTTCTTCAGGCCAGCAGCTGACACCTCTGGGTCTCAATTTCTTGACATGAGAAACCTCCACCAGATTCGGTTTTCATTTCCATCCCATTCCCACCTCCACCCAAACCAGCAGCGACGCTGTCGACTCTCCTGCGTGGAGCAAAGGAAGCTGATGTCCAACGCTGCTGGCTCCCCACCGCACGTCCTCACCATCAGCAGGACATCGGACACACACGGGACTTTGAAGAATTGTATGTGTTGCTTAGGGGTGCTGGGGAGTGGGATAAAACTGCTTGGAAAATATTCACTGCCAAACCCATGAAGTTGGAAAATATTTGGAGCGATATCAGAAGCTGCAGATGATATCAAAAGCGGTGCTGTTACTGGCACCATTCCCAAGCTTCGGCTTCTTGGGGTTGGGTTCTTCATGGGAACTGGCACCAGGGTTTAAAATACATAGATCTCTGTTACTGTCTGTACAAGGATTCTTCCAGCAGGGCTCAGGTTTAGATCCAGATCCTTCCATGGTCCTACCTGCACAGATCCACCAGCCTGTGGCACTGACATCCCCCTGGTGCTTATCCTTGGGCTCTCCTGGCCGCAGGGCACAGAAATCCAACGCATGGTCCACATCCAACCCCAAACACCCTCTGCTGTGGAGACACAGCCACTGCCTCCCTCATCCTGCTGCCCGTTTGGATAAATCGCTGGCACACACCATTTGGGATTTATCTTCAGATAGAGAGCATCATAAATATTTTCATCCAAAAAGCTCTAAAAACAGGAGGGAAGGGTTAAATAAAGGCTTTACCCTCCTTCTCAATATCAAACCTCAGAAAAATTTAGGTGAATAGATTCAAAAATTGTTGGTAGCCTAGAAACGGAGACCAAAACTCAGCAGCCCAGAGTTCAGTGAGCCCCAACCTGACCTCAGCACCCAGAGATGTCTCTTGCTTTATTCTTCCGCTGGTATCTCACGTCCAAGGGATCAAATCCCCTTTCTCTGGACCCAAAGAGCGCCCAGCGAGGAGTTTTGGCCATGTAATCAGCTGCTGTGAAGGTCTTGCACCCGCTGCTCCTCTCCTGCTCTTGCACCAGCTCCTGGAAGCGGCCGTAGTCGATCCAGGTCCACCACTCACCGTCTACCTTGAACTGGAAGGAGAAGAAAGGTGTTACCAAAGCAGAGCACAGTGAGAGCACCAAATAACACATCTATGCTACAACATGCTGGGTGCTACTAAATTGGTTGCCCAGCTGCAGTATTCTTTAATTTCCTAGCCTCAACCTTAATGGGTCCTGGGTTAAGCCATCCAGAAACTAAGGTGGGATCGCTGCCTTAACAGGAAAAAAATAATAATCAGGTGGACAAATACCCAGAACTTACTGTTTCTGAGGCACGTTTCGTCCCAAAGTTTGGCAACACACACAGGTACAGGATGGCAATTTTTCTCACAGCATTAGTCACTCAGTGCTGTTTGCCAGCAGGTTATTGCCACCAGAGTTTGACTCCTGGGGCATCTGGTGGACCCTCCAAAGTACCAGATCCTACCACCAGTTCAGCCCCACTTTCCCAGGAAGGATGCGTCCGTGCTGCATCCCAAAGCCTTCCCAGGTGTCACTTATACCTGAAAGACCTTGGCTTGGGGAACTGGAAGAGCCCTGGATGAAATGTGCACATTTGAGAGTGATATCCAGGTACCCCTTGACGAAGGGACCTTTCCAAGGACAACCAAAGGCCCCTTTTGGAACGTGTGACACCAGCTCAGGGCAGCCCCAGCAGAATGGTACAGGAACAACCCAAGAGCCCTACGCTGTGGTGATTGGGATGGATTTGGGTGATTCTTGAAAGGGGCAAGAGGGTTGTGTTTGGGAACGGGGGAAAATAAAAAGGTTTAATGATGTGAATCCTCTTTCCGTGTGAGAATTTTAAGAATTGCTTATTTTGACAAGCTGAAGCTGCATTTGTCTAGCAGACCTGCTCTGCTCATTTAGCAACAGCCTCGACTGAATCCTCAATTAGGATTTATCTGAGCTAAGAGCTTATTATGCACTTCATCCAAAAAGAAAGGGAAAAAAAAAAAAAGAAAAAAAGAAAAGAGGGAAAACAGACTGACTCCCTGGGTTGTTTTTTTTTTTTTTTTAAAAACCTGATGGCTGCGCATTTCAAATGGCACTTGACTTTCTGCCCAAGAGCTAAAAGCTTTTTTGGTCGGCAAAACTGCTGACACCTGCAAAATTTTGCAATCAAACTCTGCTAATGCTAATCTATTTGCCGCCTGCGTAATTACAGCAGATTCTTGCCGGAGTCATCCTCTGCACAGAGCGGGGACGGAGACTGCAGAGTCACAGCAGCGGGGCACGAGGCGCTCCATAAATAAACTCGCCCAAGGCTCCTTCTTCATACACTATCGTGGAGGCCACATCTCACCCAGGAGACGTGTCCTCTCCTGGGCGTGTGAAGTAAGGTATCACAACGGAAGTGACAGCAGAGGAGGCCACGAGCTGCCTGTAAAGCAGCAGGTCCCAAACAGGATCCAGGAGACACCTGAACTTCCCTTGCAATGCGCGTGGAGGTTCCGGGTGACAAGTTCATGCCATGTCTAAGAGTCCCTGCCCCTTCAAATTCGAAACACTAACACTCATTGCCAAATTTTCACACAAATTAAGGGAAAAAAACCAACCCCAGACCCACAGGATCCAGCAAAGCCTTTAATGGAGAGCTGTTTAGCACACAGCGAGCTGTCAGGCTCATTCCCACCATGGGGATGGAGCGCTCCTGACATGGCAAAAGGGTCCCCAGACAGACTTGAGGCCAACTAAGAGAAAGCGAGCACATGAAGAACCCAAAGCTGCCAAGACTTGAACCCAACTGAATAGGTAATTTGGTAAAACCTGTTTTCCCTGAAAACCAATGGGATGCTCTTATCTCAGAAGGAAAGGAAGAGCCTGCAGTGAGCTGGTACCCCTGGGGTCAAGGGTGGCTCAGCAGGAGCACCAAAGCCACAGGAGATACTGGGGACCAGCTGAAATGAGGGTACAGACCACGGCCACCACTCCAACCCAAACACCAACACAGGGATCTGCCTCTCCAGAATCTTAAAGCTAGAAATGGCATGAAAACAGCGTATATTACCCACCGGAGACATTGAGAACTATTTCTAGACTATTTCTAGAAGAAGCCTTTTCTCTGCCAGGCCAGTCACTGGTAACACAGCTGCCCTCACAACTGGTTTAACTGGCAACGCGTGGGTAAAAAACCAGAATCCTAGAATGGGCTGGCATCAGTGCTGGGGCTGGCATCGTCCACAGCAGCTTCAGCAGCAGGATGACACTGTCACCGCCCGGCCGAGCGCAGAGGGGATCTCTCATACAGGGATGAGAGTCTGACACGAGTTTCTGGGACACAATTAGATGGTTTCTCTCTTTTTAGAGGCAGACTTATTTTTTCCCCCGTATCATGGCTGTATCTTACATCAGCTATTCTTCTATGGAGCTAATGGCCTTCGGTGAGGGCAGCAGCAGAAGGGAATGCAACCAAAGATCTCCCAACACGGGTCCCAAGAAGTCCCCATCGCCCAGAGCTGGGGAGCAAAGCTTTCAGACCTCATCAGAGGAAGGGCACGGTGGAGTGAGGGAGGACTCAGCTGGCCCATAGGCAACGTGCCCAGACCCACTGGGTGCCACGCTGTGCTCCTGAGCAAGGTGGCATGCCAAGAGGTGGCTTAGAGAGTGGCAGGAAGGGACCCCTGTCCTCTCCTCATGGCTTGCTCCCCTGACCATACAGCCCTACCCGTGCTTGCCTGGGGACAAGCCCACTCCCTTGATGAAGCTGTGGTTTAATCACATCAAGCTGATGGCTGGACCTCCACCAGCTGCGTGATGGAGCATGATGGATCTGCAAGAGCCCCAGCAGATCTCATGGGGGCTGGACCTTCCCTTGGTAGCTGAGGTGGCAGCTGGGAGCAGCTGAGCCAACCCTCCAGGCTCCCCCAAACCACTTGCACTGCTCTGTGTCCTCAGCTTTGGCTGGGTTGAAGTGAGATTTTAAAGCTATTTAATTTTGACTCCACCTGAGCCTGCAGCTCCTGACACAACGGAGCTTTGAGGGCCGGGAGGCATCTGCTGCAGACGGAGGTGACGCTGCCATTCCCAGCAGAACAACCCAACGACGGCTGTCTGGGATACATTATAAAAGCAGATTAAATAATATTAAATATTTTTAGTGCTGCAATAGCACAGCCATAAAACACGGAGAAATGGGAGCAATCTTTTAAGGGTGTCATGGAAAGCAATTACTTCTGCTGAGGAATAAAAACCAGACAAACATGGGGTGGGGGAGAACAGCCCCAATTGCCCACAAGATTTACAGATTGGATTTTAACACTTTTGTGATTATTCTATAGATAACAAAAGATTTAAGACTCAAAAGAGTTTCACAACACCCATATAACAGGTGAGCCAATGCTAAACATCGGTGTTATTTCAGACTAACGCGGTCAGGTTTTTTACTGCATTTTTTCACTACCTGGTTAAGTCTTTTAAGGTGATAAATACATCGATGAAAGACAAACAGCTGAAACCCTTCCCTTGCTTTTTTTTAAGCTAGCATCATAAAAAAAAGTAATAAAGCTCCTTCAGCTGGCTCTGAAGCCAGGCTGTGCTGTCTGGAAAGGCAAAACCTCCTCCTCAAGGGCTTTGCTTGAGCAGGAGATGACCTGGGAGCCAGTGACCACCTTCTCCTCAGAGCTCCTGCTCCCAGGGTCCCTGAGCAATGGTCCCCCTGGTCCCACCAGCCCTCGGTCCCCACAGACATGGTATGGGTGCAGGCAATGCAAAACTCCCCTGATTTCTGCAGATCTGCCCCGAGCAGACATTAATGCTGGGGAAACAAGAGGCAAAGGAAAGGACGAGGTGGGGCTCACAATGGCCTTCAAGCCTGGAAAAGCAGATTTAGGCGTGATGCTGGGCCACCCCATCACTGAGGACGTTTGCCAAGGGGTTCCAGTCCTCTGCCAGGAGGGGCCTGGCTGGACTGGCCAGGGGAGCCCCAGGGCAAGGGTCTATGAGGACCGAGCTGCTGCCCAGGGTTGGGTTGTCCATGGACACAGTCAGTCCCTCTCCCTATGAGAAAACTAGTATATATACAGCAAAGACAATCAGGAACCAGGATTACAACGATGGGAGCTTCAACGGAGCGTGGCTAACACCTCCCTTTGCACTTATAACTCACAAGAGTGGATACAAACAGGAAATTTCTTTAAATTATCTTTTGCAGTAAGTTTACAGCTGCTCCGATGGCTTCTCTCTACAGAAACCCATCAACATTCATGAAGGAGAAGAGCCACAACACTACATATTTCTTTTCTTATCAACGTATTTGCATAAGCAATTTTTTGGGGGGTAAAACTGTATGCATATATTGAGGACAATATAGTACTACAATTTACTACATTCCTCCAGACACGCATAATTTCCGAGAAATAAACACAGGGTTTCTCTGAAGGGATAAAATACAGAAGAGAGGCAGAGATGGTGACACATGAAACGCTAACACTGAAAAATGGAAGTCAGCCAAAAATCAATTAGTTTGTCCTAACATGGATAATGTTATATTTTCTTCGCAGAAAAACACACTGAAACGAGGAGGCTCCTCTTCACCCATTCACTCTGCTTTCTCTAAAAAAATAATATAAAATTAATGTATTTTCAGGACAGGACTAAATAGTGTGGGCAGCGTTAAGAGCGTGAAGCAGAGCAGTGTGGCAAAGGCTGCTGCGGCTCCTTGCAGAGCAAACCCTGGGCTGCAAGGACAGAATCCGTCCCCAGTGGGGACAGGACCCACGGGGAAACCCCTCTCCAAGGGGCTGTGACACCCCACGCCATCCCCATGGAGCTGGGGGAAGACCCGGAGAAGAAAGCAGGGCTTTGGGTCCTGCAACAGCTTCTTTTCTAGTACTTGAGATGAAGATTTAGTAGCCCAAGAAATGGATTCTTCCCCTGGCAGATGCACGGGGTCTAATGGTTACATACAGAAGTTTTATACATCTTTTTAAAGACCACACACACAAAAATAAATTGCTCAGTGGTAACTGGGAAAACAGCACGTGCTTGAGTGGTGGGGAGGCATAGAAACTGGTGTAGCACCGTACAGG